AATCACCTAAGTTCGAAAGTCAGAACTGGCAAGTGCAGCAGACATCTTCGGAGCAACCACGCAAGCACGTGTCGACATTCAATGGGCTGAGCTTGGCCCATTCTCATCAACTGCTAAATCGAAGTACACAGAGAAAAAGAAAGCAATCCTTAGATGTGTTCAAAGACTTTCACCTTAGAGCTGAACAAGAGACTGGCAAGAAGTTGAAGTGTGTTCGAGCAGATAATGGTGGTGAGTACAGGTGTCCGTTTGAGAAGTATTGCCGAGACCATGGCATTAAACTTCAGAAGAGTGTTCCGAAGACTCCGCAGCAGAATGGCATGGCAGAAAGAATGTACAGAACTATTACCGAAAAGATTAGGTGTATACTCTCGAATGCAAAGCTGCCTAAATCTTTTTGGGGTGAAGCCATGCAGACAGCAGTTGATTTGATCAACCTATCTCCCTCAGTTCCGTTGGATGGTGATCTACCACAACGAGTTTGGACAGGGAAAGATGTCTCATTTAGGCATTTGCGAGTTTTGGTTGTCGTGCCTTTGTTCATATTCCCAAAGATAAAAGGTCGAAGATTGATGGCAAATCCAAGCAGTGTGTATTCTTGGGGTATGGAAATGATGATTTTGGGTACAGACTTTGGGATCCTGTAGAGAAGAAAGTTTTTAGAAGCATAGATGTGATCTTTGAAGACCAGACCATTGATGATATGGGAAAAAGCGAGATGCCAGAATCTTCACCTGAGATTCCTGTTGATCTAGATCCAGTTCCTCAATAATCAGATTATTCTCCTGAAGGGGAGGGGGCTAAGACAGAGCAGGATGGTGAGTTTAATAATGATCCTGTAACTGAAACAGAGAAACCACCGGTTTTATCACCTCCTGTTCAGCCTAGGAGGTCCACCAGAGACAAGAGACCTTCCACCAGGTACAGTGCTCATGAGTATTTGTTGCTTACTGATGGGGGAGAGCCAGAGTCGTATAAAGAGGTTCTTAGTCATGAGCAGAAAGATCAGTGGTTAGCAGCCATGCATGATGAGATCAAATCCTTGCATGAGAATAACACGTATGACCTGGTGAAGCTGCCTAAGGGCAAGAAAGCACTCAAGAATAAATGGGTTTTTAGACTAAAAACAAGTGAGAACAGCTCACAACCGAGGTACAAAGCTAGATTGGTTGTGAAGGGATTCAATCAGAGAAAGGGCGTAGACTTTGACTAGATATTCTCTTCTGTTGTAAAGATGTCTTCAATCGAGTTGTGCTTGGGATAGCGGCCAGCTTGAATCTTGAGATTGAACAGCTTCATGTGAAGACAGCCTTCCTGCATGGTGATTTAGAAGAAGTGATTTACAAGGAGCAACCGGATGGGTTTCAGGAGAAGGGGAAAGAGAAGCTTGTATGTCGTCTCAACAAAAGCTTGTATGGGTTGAAGCAAGCTCCGAGGCAATGGTACAAGAAGTTTAATGCCTTTATGATAGGGTAGGGATACCAAAAGACTACACCTGATCACTGTGTGTTTGTGAAGAAATTCTCTGATGGTGATTTTATAATTCTTTTGCTTTATGTCGATGACATTTTGATTGTTAGTCATGATACTGCAAAGGTTGCCAGGTTGAAAAAGGAATTGTATAAATCCTTTGCGATGAAAGATTTGGGTCCGGCTAGACAGATCCTTGGGATGAATATTTCTCGTGACAGACAGAATGGGAAGCTTTGGATATCTCAAGAGAAGTATATCGAGAAGGTTCTTGATAGATTTAACATGAGCGGTGCTAAGGAAGTCTCGACTCCACTTGCAGGGCATTTTAAGCTAAGCAAAATGCAGTGTCCTAAAAGTGAGAAATATAAGGAAGAGATGAAAAATGTTCCTTATGCTTCGGCAGTTGGCAGCCTCATGTATGCGATGGTTTGCACAAGGCCAAACATAGCTCATGCAGTTGGTGTTGTTAGTCGGTTTCTCTCCAATCCTGGTAAGGAGCATTGGAATGCTGTGAAATAGATTCTCAGGTATCTTAGAGGTACTTCCAGATTGAGTGTTTGCTTTGGCAATGGGAAGACCATGTTAGATGGTTATACAGATGCTGACATGGTGGGTGACCTAGATGGTCGGAAGTCTACTTTTGGTTACTTGATGACTTGTAGAGGGGGAGCAGTTTCATGGCAAAGTAGGTTGCAGAAATGTGTTGCTTTGTCTACTGCAAAGGCAGAGTTTATCGCAGCTACTGAATCTTGTAAGGAGGCACTTTAGTTGCAGAAGTTTCTACAAGAGCTTGGCATGAAGCAAGAGAGGTATGTGGTGTATTGTGATAGCCAGAGCGCTATTCACTTAGATAAGAATTCCATATTTCATTCGCGGTTAAAACGTATTGATGTTAGGTATCATTGGATTCGGGATGTACTAGACTCCTAGGCGTTGTTTCTTGAGAAGATCCATACGGATGACAACGGTGCTGATATGTTGACGAAGACTGTGAGTAGAGACAAGCTCCTGTTTTGCAGACATGAAGCTAGCTTGGTTTTACCCTAATTGAGGTGAAGGAGGAGATTGTTGGACTCGGTGTTCCCCTCAATTGGGCCAACAAGGAAACAAATAAAACCAAGCCAAATTTGGCTTTGGTTTTAGGAAACAAGCCCCACTCCAATTGGTTTTTGTTTTTTGATTTTTTGCTCTATAAAAGTAAGGCTTTGGCATAATGTTTAGGTATGTGCTGAGAGAGAAGGTGAAAAATTGGGCAGCCGCGCAAAGCTTTGTGCGTGAGAGAAAAAGAAAGAAAACTAGGTTTTAGTTTTTGGTTTAACTCTATTTTGATTAGATCCTTCTAGTCCTACTCTGTGATAGGTGTTTTGGAAGAGTATTGTTGTAATCCACCTTTTGGTGAAGTCCTGTGTATCCAGCGGTTGGTGAAGATTGTTTTCCCATTATTATGATACTGGAGATTTGACTGTTGTTACAGTCCCGTGGTTTTTCCCGATTTGGGTTTCCACGTAAATTTGTGTGCTTCCTTTACTTTATCAGTTCTTGAATTAGTTGCTTGTTTGGTTGGTTGTCCTGTTTTATTGGTAGTAGGAAAGGAGTTTTTCTTGGGAATCGTTTCCGCTGGTTTGTTGTGTTTATACCCTTTCCGCCACAACATATATGATTTTTCCCCAACTGGAGAAATGTACATTACTTGTACATCAATTAACTAAGCACCCTTAGTAATTTTTAGGGACGACAAGAATAGAATAGTCAATTTACTCTTGGAAAAATCATCTATTGTCACCTTACTCTTGGAGAAATATTCAGTTTTGTCTTTCGTTGTTTAAAATTAGTCCAAGAATCTACGACTGCTAGGTTCCACTTGGTTAGTTTTTTTTTTTCAAAATTAAGAAAAAAAGAGCAATGTAACTTGATCCAGAAATACTTTCAACTGAAATTAAATCTAAAATGTGTTACAAATTGGATCAGAATAATTAATTCACATATAAATCAGAAAAGATCAGCGGCTATTGTATCTCCTCTTATTATGAGGGAGAAATGATAGATAGGGAAGAATAAAGTTATACAAACAAAATTAGATCAACAATGCAGATCCTTATTTCCTTTACACTTTCATACTAAACAATCAAGAAAGAAAATTTCTCTTTAATGAAAGAGAGGAAAAGGGCTGAAAGTGTCCACTACAGAAGGGAGCAAGAACGCAACATTTGATTGCCGTTTGTTTACTCACACGTGCCACTATATATGGTCTCTCCTTCCGCAACTTACAGAGAATCGTGCAATCCTTCAAATTTTAATCGCAATCATTGCTAGATGGAAAAGGTTTTATAACAAAACTTTTAGATTGCCGTCTGTTCAATTGAACTTAACACAAAAAAATTTTTGTTCGCCTCGCTTGGACGGCAATCAATGGGCAACAATGTGGAAATAGTCAAGAATCCACGTAGTTATTACAAAAGTTGACTCCAACAATCCCCTCATCCAGCAATAACTAATTCCCCGTAACCCCCACCCCCTATGAAAAAAAAAAGATAAGAAAGAAACCATTCCAAAATAATTGTGTAATTTAGATTTTATATTCCTCCCTACCGAAAAATGAAAAAAACCTAAAGCAATCCCATTTTTTGCAATATCACGTAATATTTAGTTGTACTATATATTAAATCTAGGAAGGAACTCAATAGAGCTTCAACTTAAATCAGCTGGTATTTACATTGAGCCTGTCTCATTGATCTTGTTTAAAAAGAACTGCGCGTGTACTATTAAACCAGTAATACGAAGCTCAAATAGAGACAGAGGAAGAATCAACACAAGAAAGCACCAATAATAGGAAAAAATCTTCTATACAACTGTTGTACCACGTAGGATTGTACAGCCAGATACATGAATAGAGCAAGATTGTAATTTTACCGGGAAAGTTACCACAAAATTAGGGGGTCATAATATTTTCCAGTATAATGAATGTGTTGCTGCACTAAAAATGGGATACACTTGCTATATAGAATAATTTTTCCAATAACGGCAATGTAAAGTGACATAATTAGACCCAAAAATTTGCAGGGCCAACTATAACAAGAATTTTTTTTTTTCACAAAAAAGATATAAAAATGTAAGTTATTTTTCCCAAAACAAATTGGCGACCACAGGATCGACGGACCCTTTGCTCCCCCTAGGTCCATCGTGTAAGGACAATACTTGGATGACCATAATCCTTATTGAGGACTCGTCCACTTTCTTTTTTTTTTTTTTAAACAAAAGAAAGTATTGAAAGATATTCAGGTTCCAATTAACACAGAAAATACTCAAGGGATTCATCCAAGAGCTGCTATTCCCTGCATCAATCAGTGTTAGGTGATACTACGCACCCAATGGGTATACGCAAGGGATGGACATGAATACCACCTAGTTCCCTAGCACCTCCCTTCCCATGTATTATTGAAATTATAATCAAAAGTTGGTAGTGCTTCAGACTTACCAAAATACACCAGCAAAAAGAGCAAAAAAATTCTATCTATTACATAGAAAGTCTAATACCTCACTCTTACATATGGTATAGATTGCTGATCTAAAAGAATAAGGCCTCTGGTGAAACTAGGAAGATAACCAAAACCCTCATATTGCTCAAAAAATTCAGATGAAGCCCTCTTAGCTAAACTATCCACAACCGCATTAGCTTCTCTAAATATATGGTGTATAGTATATTCCCTTCTCTCCATGATAGCATGAATCTCCTCCAATCCCTCACAAAATCTCCAAGGATAGGGACCCCCACTAGATAAAAGATTGGCCAAAACTTGGCTATCCGTTTGGATTTCCAAGGGAGATAATTCTAGACACTCACACTTACGAACCCCAAATAAGAGACCATATACCTCCGCTTGAAAACAATCACCTTCACCTAGAAAGCCAGATCCTCCATAATGAAAACTACCATTCCTTCCACGTATTACAAAACCATACCCCGAAGAGAAAGCTTTTGAAGAGCCATCAGTATTGAGAACAAGGTGTTCTCGTTGTCTCCAAGCAACCGCAGCAATCTTCATTCCTTTCACTCTGAACTTTGCCTTTAGAAACCTCTCTTGAAGGAAAACTCGTTCCTCGTTATTCCGAGTGGGAAGAACATCTACAAGCAGCATTTTATGTAGATGTTCCCCCTCTGCATTAATAATAAAATGCTCATTTGTATCGATTCCTTCAAAAAGGAACTTGTTCCGCGCTTTCCATGTCTCCCAGAAAATAAATGATGGCTCCTTCTTGATGATTCCAATGGCTGTCTTGAAGCTCCCCCAAGGACCACCATGAAGTTAATGCCATTTCAAAGCCTCCCCCTTGAATACAAGGAAAGCCAAAGAAGTCTGAAAAGTAATTCCAAATCCGGCAGACTGATTGGCAAGTCAAGAAATTATGTAGCATTGTATCTGGCCCTAACTTACACTTGTAGCAAATAGAAGGTTGCAAAACAATTCCCATTTTGCATAAGGTCCCTGGAAATGGAGGAATAGAGTTCCCAAACTTCCACATGAAAAAATATATCCTTGATGGAACATATTTTGCCAAATGTTGGGCAAACTAGGGTTGACGGGTTGTTTCTTCCTTATTACCTCATAGGCTGATTTAATAGTGAAAATCCCCAATGAATTTGGCTGCCAAATCATTTTGTCTTCTCCATACAAAAATTGGATTTCCATCGCCTCCAACTCCCGCTATACATTTGATGATAATCTTGGCCGGAACTTGTTGAAATAGAATTACTTCCTCGAGAAGAAATCCTTAATTGTTGTCAAAGGCAATGGTGGGAGGACTTCTTGAACATCCCAAATGCGACCCAAATCTGACCACTTATCATACAAAAAGCTCCTATTTCCACTTCTAACCAGCACTTTAGAGTGATTTGTTGCCACAATATCAACTTTTGCAAAGTGACTCCAAGATGTTTTCCTTCTTGCAGAATGCGACAATGAGAGAATGAACCTCGACCATATGCCTTCACTATGTTTCATTTTCCACCAAACTTTGAAGGAAAAAGCCTTCAAAACATCATGGAAATCTCGCAGCCCTACTCCATTTTCCACAACAGGGAAAGTGAGACGATTCCAAGACCACCAATGTCGCCTCCCATCCCCTTCTACACCTTCCAAGAGAAACGTTTGGCATCTTTGAGCTACAGCTTTTATAATAGACTTTGGTGGCTCAATAGCAGCAAAAACATGAAGTGCAATGGCAGACAAAACATGCTTGATTAGCACAAGATGCCCACCTTGGCTGAGAAACTTATTTTTCCAGTTAGACAGCCGTTTATCAATCGCATCAAGAATGAACTGAAAGGTGGCTGCCTTTTTCCGCCCTTGATACAACCGGCGATCGAGATAAACAAAGGGGAAGGAACCTTTTTGCATACCCAAGCATCTTTTAACACTTTCTATCCAAGAAGGAGGACAATTCAATCAACATAGAAGCTACTCTTTTCTCTATTTATTGTTTACCCAGACGCTACTTCATATTCATCAAAGAAAATATTCAACTTGTCCATAGATGACTTAAGCCCTCGAGTGAAGACAATGAGATCGTCGCAAAACATAGATGAGAAACATAATTAGATCCAACGGGAGTGCCAATACGAGCTACCGACCTATTTGCCATCCAAAATTCAACCTGCGCGACATTGCTTCAGAAACAAGTATAAACAAAAAAAAAAAGCGATAATGGATCACCTTGTTTGATCCCCCTGCTTGCTTTGAAGAAACCCTGTCGGATTGCCATTCACCAAAATTGAAAACTATCTTGGAGGTTATTCAAAATCAAAGTAATGAATTGAAGTGGAAAGCCAAACCTTTGCAACACCGACCTTAGAAAGCTCCATGAGACACGATCAAGAACTTTCATCATATCAATTTTCAGAATGAGATTATTCCCTATGGCTTTATGATTGAGGAATTGATACAAATCTTGGGTGAGTATGATATTATCATTGATGTCTCGTCCAGCCAAAAATGCTAATTATTCCTCCGAAATAAGTTTAGGCAGTACCCTCTTCAACCTCTCAGTAATAATCTTCGTGAAAACCTTATTGACAAAGTTTCACAAACTAATTGGACGTACATCCGAAAAAGTTGTGACTGAGTTCTTTCTTGGTATAAACGCAACTAAAGTGCTTCCGATGGCCCTCGGAATATGAACCCCTAGCATGTATTCTTTGCAAGCATTGAGAAGATCCGGGGCAATTATTTCCTAGTAAGACCTATAAAATGATCCCCCATATCCATCCGAACAGGGAGCACTATTTGGATCAAGGTTATCCGCAGCTTCTTTACCTCCTCCATGGTATTTTCCCGCATAAGTAGCTCATGATCATCATAGGGTAGCAACAAAGGAATATGCTGCAAAAATTTTTCTTCAGCTTCCAAATTAGGTGCTGGATTTTCCTCCGTTAAAAGATGCTCAAAAAACTTCACAGCTTGACCTTCAATTGCTTGCTTTTCATTCAGCCATTCCCCTTCTTCAGTTTGTATCTTATATATCCCCATTCTTGCCTTCTTTTCAGTAAGCGAAGCATGGAAAAAAGCTGAGTTACAATCGCCCTCTTTTAATCATTTCAACCTCATTTTTTGCCGCAAGAAATCTTCATTTTCTTTGAGCTTCAACAACAAGTTTGCACGCGCAATACTAAGATTAACTCTATCACTATCAGAGTGAGTAGCATCAAATTTAATTTCCAGCTCTTGAACCTCCTTCTCTGCAGCTTTCAGATTGTCAAAACCATTCCCAAAAACCGCCTTATTCCATTCTTTAAGCCTTGCTTTAAGCCGTCGCAGTTTCAACGAGAAACCCAACATTCCAAATCCTTCAATAGGCATCTCCCAATTTTCCTTTACCAAGGCCCATAAAATCATCCCTTCTCAACCACATATTCTGAAAACAAAAGCTTCTTGGCTGAACTTCCAAAGTAGTATCAAACTGAAGCAACATGGCGCAACTTTGGGGGAAACTAGCAAGCGATTCCATTGAAAAGAGGATGCGATCCAACTTCTTACTCACCCAGCCCGTACTTCTTGTTCCACACCAAGTAAACTCCTCCCTAATAGTGAGAAGCTCCGTTAGGGAAGCCTCTTCAATGAAATCATTAAAATGTGCCATTGCCGCTTGATCTTGAACTGAAATACCCGAGTATTCATCAAGAGACCTTATTACATTAAAATTCCCGCCTACCATCCATGGGGTGTTCGGATGTTGCTGCCCAAACATGCCAAAGATCTTGTCGCGCAGCTCTCGTTGGCTTAGCATAAACCTCTGAAACATATATTTTCGAGTTCACTGATTGATGCTCCAACTCTAGATGCAAAACTTGCTCCGAATCTCCAATCATTGTAACACTAGCATCATTCCTACTTAAAACCCAAATCTTACTTGTGGAAGAAGAGAAGGCTGCATCGACATGAAGAAGAGACTTTATTTCCTCCACATTATTACTCGGCAACATAAGCTCAAGGAGGATAAAAAAGGACACTTTATACAATTTTATCAAAGACTTCAAACGCTGAAATGACGCTCGATTTTTAACACCTCTTGTATTCCATATGATGCGACTAATCATCATAATTATTGAAAGTGGTAACACATTCTTATTGCAATCGGGCTGAGCGTCGAAGCTCAACACCCTCTGCCAATTTTGATTTTTCCTCCTTAGATTTACGACCCCGTTCCTCTTAACCTTGGTAGCACCATTCTCTGATCTTTAAACTTGCACATGTGAGCCATCTTTCTCACTCTCAGACCAGCAAAAGTCCTCTGGAGCATCATCTTCACCATCATGTTGACTCTTAGCATCGTAAGAGTCATCAGGAAATTTACCAGGCACCGGCGAAGAAGAGATATTCTGCAAAGCATCCGCAATCGGGTCTACTGACAGAGCAGCTCCAATTCCTTCTGTAAAAACATTCTCTGTATCACTGAGATCATGAACCAAATCAAGTTTACCGTCCTCCACATCCTGTAATACAGCAAACTGGTTTGAGAGGTTCTTGGTTTCCGAGAGCTTAGCCAAATGCGCGACTTCAGACTGTGTTTCATTCTCCAACTGTAATGGGGCATTATGGGAGTCTGAGACATCCTGAACATCCACCAGGATCATCTCTTTTTTCCTTATTTATTATACCAGAGGACGATTCAATCATTCGCGTAGCAAGAGTCAACATCACAGGGGGTGCTACTCATAATTGCGCATAACTAGGGTTTCTTCCACAGGGGTGTGCGACTCATTGTTGCGCGAAGCTAGGGTTCCCTCTTCCGGCCTTTTCAGCACAACGGGGCGGCTTTCAACTGCTTTAACAATCAATGGATTAGCATTCAGTATCTGCACCTTCAGATTAGGGCTCGTAGATTTATCTCCTTCACCCTTAAACAACCATTTCGCCTTAGGGTTTGAGATTTGAGACCTGTCTTCTTCGGGGCTGGACCATCAATGTTTTTCTGAACTGTTGTCTTCTTTGGCGGAGGTTTACCTTGCCGACATTTCAAACAATAGGACGGAACATGCTCAAATGTAAACACTTGCTCATGCTTCCGTCCTTTTTTCCCAATTTTCACCGACTTCGGAAGCTCTTTGGTGAGATCAATCTCAACACAAAAACGAGCAACCGATGACCTACCCCATGTTTAAAGTAGGTGCATCCGCCTTTAGGGGCTTGCCGAGCGCCGTTGCCATAGAAAAATTACCTCCGGATGCATAAATTCAATTGGCAAATCGAAAAGAGAAACCCATATCGGAACCACCGGGCGGGTCTTCTTCAAATCGAAATCCGGTTTTTCACTTAAGAATCCTCATAGAGAAACCTCCAATATTCCAAAATGTTCTAATCCAACATCTTTGGTAGTCTTCTTCTTGATTGAACCGGATAAAAACATGCCTTGGGTTCATGAGTCCCAAGGTGTACCCACCGTTGAATCCAATTTTCTTAAATTCATCATGGATCTCTTCCATTTTTGGCCTGCCATATGAGAATTTTCCCTCCAAGTATAGTTTGTGAGGTGCAACCAATCGTTCAAATTCGTCATCTTTATACTCCAAAGTGGGAGTACCATTCATGAATTTCACTTGTTTAATAAGTGAATCTTTATTCATCTCAATTCCGGGTGGCTTTTGGGAAAAACTAGAAAAGGTTCGCGGCGGTGGTGGAGCCGCCGGTGAAGTAACACCGGCCATAGTGGCCATGGTGGTGACTAGCCGTCAAGGCTAGTAGGGTTTTGCTTAGAGAGAAAATTTTGATGTTATAGTAATATGATGCACCAAATGAATAATCCAATCATCCACTTTCATTTTTTCATTCAAAAATAAATACTTGGTGTTCTACATAACTGGACAATTATTTTGAAATGGTGGGATCTAAGGCTGTTAGTTCGTGCGGGTTCGATTGGTTCGGGTGAGTTCGGTTCGGGTTAATCGGTTTTTTCTTCTCACAACACCCGCCCGAAACCGAACTGCAAAGTCTACAACACCGAACCGAATCGCCCAAAAAAAATCAGTTTTTTCGGTCCGGTGCCCTATTCAACCGAAACCAATACTCTGTGAATCTTGTCAGAAGGAGAAGGAGAAGAAGAAGAATCACCCCTCCTCGATCTCTCTAGCAAAATTGAATCCAACAAAATCATTCTTCTGGTTGTGACCATGATGTTGATATGTAAACCTATTCATCTTCCTTTCATCCCTTCAAAATTTTATTTTTCTATCCTACAAGGAATTCACAACAAAACACAAACAACCTATCAACACAAAGTCACTCCCGAATTCAATCAATTAAATAAAACCCACAATCTTGATCTTAATTGAAAATAAATCGACTGGTAATTGTTATTAAAAAAAGAAAGAAAAAGGAAAAAAGAAACAAAACATGAACAAAAAAAGCAACAACTTTGATGTATGATCTAATTCTTTTGGGCGAAGTGCGATTAATTGGCAAGAGAAGAAGAAGAGAGACGACGACCATGCGGGAGTGAAGGAGTTAGGAGAAGATGAGGAAGAAGAAGAAAAAGAGAAAAATAATTATGGTATTTGGACAGAGAAGAGGAAGAAAGAGAGACAATTGCCGATGTGGGAGTGAAGGAGTTAGGAGAAGGAGAAGAGGAAGAAGAAGAAGAGAAAGATTGTGGTGGATGGTCTGAATCAACGGATTGACGGAGTTTTCAAAGCCAAAGTGGGAATGGAGGTAGCTGCCGGTGGCTGTAGAAAAAATAAATGACTGAGAATGGAGAAAAGTAAACCCTAGTAAAAATATTAAGGGTAAGACTACAAGACCGGAAAACAATTATAAAATATAGGTAAAATAAAATAATAATAATAATTCGGTTTATCGGCCGCTGCCCGAACTGATTTCTTACTGCCCGCACTCGCACCGATTTACCTATACGGTTAATCGGGTGAACCCGGATAAACCCGAATTCAACCGATTACCCGAACCATTTAGCACCGATTTGTGTATTCCACTGTCATAATTACATCTGCAATTGAAACCTAATGCTTCATCGATTGATTGCTCTTGAAATATTGAAACTTAGACAAACCAACCATCATTGTTTTGGCTGTAGGTACTATTTCGACGCCATTGATCGTTTGATTGTGCGAATCTAAAGTGAACTAATGTTTATGGAAAAATTCAGCTGCTTTCATGTGATTGAAAGTAAGGATTTTGTTTTTGTTTCAGTTTTCAAGCGTAGTAATTATTTGTTGCTTTGTATGAAAGAATACTGCGAAAAGTCAGTGGGAATCAATCAATTTTCCAATGACATAATTTGCGATTTGGAACTCTATTTCAGAAGTTGATCGAGAAACGAGTTGCAAGTCTTGTTTAGAACACAGACTCACATTCCATTGCTTTGAATGCCAAAAAGCTAGTTGAATTTGGTAGCTCAAAACTGACCCAATTTCTACAGCTGAAATTAGTCAACTATTGAGGGCCGTAAGTCGAGATTCGTAGTTCGGATTTGGAAATTTTTGATATCCTTATGAAGCTGGGCAAATTGTCTGTAACTTTGATTTAGAAACCAAGAGTTAATTGCCAAATGAATAAGGCAAAGAAAGGCCTTTAGTAAGCATTTACAAATCTGACTGCTCAGGTTGTGAAGGCACCTGATTTCTACAGGGTTCCACTAGCGGTAGGATCGGCATTTAAGCTATGAATCTTTGAGCAACATTCTAAGAAAGTTTCTGATGAGTAAAAAGGTGAATGAAATAAGTATATATATCCTCATTGTGCAAATAATGTCGCCATCCATGGCATATATGTCAATAAATGACAATCACGACTATGAAGATATAAGGTAATTCTCTTGATATGATTTGTATGAACTACATTTGATAGAAAAAATAGATACGAACCATGTCTTATTTCATTACTTCATGTTTTGTCATTTGACTTTAGTTTAACATAACTTGATTATTAAAATGACATCAATGAAATACTATGATCTTTCTTCCAAATTAATTAGACCAAGTTTTGAGATATACTCAAAGCTCATTTCAATGTATTGAAATCATTTGGATTTTTTTTCTTCTGATAACAACTTGATGAATAGATTTGTGGTCCAACAAAGGGACACTGACATATGTAGTAATAGTGACATGCATCAATAGTTTAGTTAATTTTGATACCTAGTGTAATAAAAAAGTATCACAAAAAATCTTGTGCGGATAGAGTTTAAACTCGAAATAATTAAATTTGCAAATATCGATTAGTAGAAAACACAAATAAGAAAGAAAAGCAAAAGACGAACAAAACTATATTCAAAAACAACATAATTGAATTAATTTCTAAGCATCTTATTTTTCTACATGATCTTTATATTTTCCTTTACTACATTTTGTTTTTATTTTCCTTGTTTACCAAGAGGAAGTTTGAAATTAATTTAAAAGGCCGAGTTTGCATCATGAATGAGGGGTAAAAATGGACATGGCTAGAAACCTTAAGCTCTCCCAAGACTCTTTAAACTAAGAACACAGCCTAAAAGTGACCCATATTAAGTACTCCCTCAATCCTAAAAAAAAAAAAAATAGTTCAAATCAAATTTTAAAATTGTACAAATTTTCAAACTCAATGTAGACCTTTTATTTGGGTACCAAGGTAGTACATAAAACTCAAAATGGGTATCTAACAACAATAGAGGATAAATATTTGAAATGGATATAGAAGAATGCTTCACATAACAAAGAAGTGTAACAAACATTTGCAAAATTCTCTACACACAAATCTCTCAAAAGTAGTGCCAAATTATTTTTTTATGGTGCATGCAAATGATGACTAAAAAAACTAAGGAAACCTAAAACTACTCTTGGCAAAAAGTTGGCGTGCATGACTAAAGCTTCTATCTGAATTCCTATTTATAGACATGAATTGATTATCCACCCAAAAGACAACCGTAATCTAAAAACTCTTTCTTGCATGCATTCTTTCTCTAAAGCATTGGTTCAAGGCTTTGGCTATTGAGGTGAAGCCTAATGCAAGCCAAACCCATCAAATTACTCAAACATATTGCTTCATCCATATCCCATCATGTACTAACTAATAAACTGGGCAATGGTTTGGGAGGAGAAAAATATATACACACAAAATCCGATTTTTTTCATAAAATGATTATGGATTTTGCGCATGCATTCCGTTAGATTTAATAGGCCAAAGTCACCTAGCAAAAAAGTCTGACGACTTACCTATGGATGAGGGCATCTAAATCTATAGAGCTGAAAATAGCAAAAATCTCTCTCTATATTGTTAAATTTAAAGCCAACTTGAGGTATGGGCAGAGGGATAGCAAGTGGCAACTGCTTGGAATTTCACCCTTAAATAGCATGAAGTTTTGTTTAGTATATGCATATACTCTTTACCAATTTTAGATAAACTAATCTATAACAATACAGCCATACATCAACATGCTTTTCATCATTATTTTTGCTCTCTTATTTTTCATTCCTAGCCTAATCGCTTTTGATCCGTATACAATCTATACCCAACTTAATTTACCTTCTGGAGTTCTTGGCCCTGATTCTGTTACCTTAGATCGGTTTAGAGGAGGACCTTATGTTGCTGTCAATGATGGTAGAGTTTTGAAGTATGATGGTTCGAATTTTCAAGATTTTGCATTTACCTCGCCAAACAGGTGACTGTTATCCTTCATATGAACGAAAACTAAAGATTTAATTCTTCATTTGGGGGGGAGGGGGGGAGTTTTAATTTTTTACTTTAATATTGATGTAAATAATAGTAAATACACTACATTGAGAAATTGAAGTATGACCAACTTTAGATGGCAAGATTCTTTCCATAACAATATTGAGAAGATAAATTACAATGTCAATATAAGTTTTACTATATATTCTCTTTGGAGAAGTTCGAAGATCATCCTCTTCATGGAAACTAGAAATCTTTCAAAGATTGTGCATTCTCGCAAGCTAAAAATTATATAATCAAAAAATGAAAAGTACGATATCGTAGTTACAATCTCTCACCTTGAACATCGCTTGCCCCATATCTAATTCATTGCTATATATATGCTCAAATATTACTCTAATGTAATAGTTAATTAGATTCTATGTTTTTTTAAAAATAAAATAAATTAGATTATATAAAAGGTAACATCTGATTTTGTTTTGTCGATTGTCCAATTCCATGTAGGAGTAAGAATTTATGTGATGGAACGAAAGACCTAAACTTAGGTCCAAAATGCGGAAGGCCATTTGGATTTAGTTTCAATACAATAACTGGAGTTCTTTACATTGTAGATGCTTATCTTGGTCTTTTTAAGGTTGGACCAAATGGTGGACAAGCAACTTTACTAGCCAATAGTGCTAATGGTGTACCATTTAAGTTCCTTACTGGAATTGATGTTGATATACCCACTGGATTGGTCTATTTCACAGATGCAAGCACAACCTACTCTTTGAAGTAAGTTTATTTCCATGTCAATATTGTTCCCACGAGCCTCCCTTAAATAGTCCACTTTGATATATTAGGGAACACAATCACGACTAATTTGAAATGATCTTTAAATTTTGGTCAGAAAATGAGAGACCAAAAGTACATTCAGCCATAACTTATATATGAATTTTGATTGTTTTTATAGGGATGCCCTTGAAGGTAAATTTCCTCCTAGTGATTCAACCGGAAGATTATTGCAATATGATCCCATCACTAGACAAGTCAAAGAGTTATTAAAAGGGGTTCCTGCACCAGTAGGACCCGCAGTTAGCATCGATAGTTCATTTGTGATATTCTCCCAATTTTATGCACAAAAAGTGGTGAAATATTGGCTTATGGGGCCAAGAACAGGTGCTACTGATATTTTACTAAATTTACCAGGCAATCCTGTTAAAGTTAAAAGAGCTGAAAAACCCGGCGAATTTTGGGTGCCCGTAAATCATAATTTTTTGCCATCCGGTTACAAATTCAATTCACGAGGTGATATTCTTCTCGTAAAAGATCTTTCCAAGCAATTTGTCAATGCTCGAGTGGATGTAATTCAAGAATATGAAGAAGTAATCATCTATGTTGGGTCAGTTGAAGCTAATTTTGTTGGCGTGTTCAGTGGATGGTGATAAGTGAAAACAAGAATATAGGATCAGATTGTCTTTTAGAACAAGTTGGTAAGAATAATCAATAATTGCTTCTTTGTTTTGATATATGAATAAGCACATCTATGTGATGCAAATTTTAAGTATGTTTTTCAAGAAAATTATCATAGCTAAATTCGATAATATATGTGATGAATTTTCTCCAATAGGAGAAATGTAACTCAGTCCATAAATATTTATACTGAAATTGTTGAGGACAAAACCGGTTTTGATCCCCAAAGTTTGGGGGTGCTTGACCGAGTTACCAAAAACTTTTCTTAAACAAAATTCCCATAGATTTTCTTTTCACCAATTTTGATCTTTTTAATAAAACTTGGAGGAAATTAACAACTCTCCTTTAACTGAAAAATATTTTAGTAGTTTTCCAAAGGAAAAAAAAAGTGGGGGAAAACTCAATTTTGGTCCCTAAAGTTTAGGGGGTAGCTCAGGTGAGTAACCACAAAAGTTTATTCAACGATTTTGTGTTGTTTCATCATTTTTAGCCACCGCATATTCAATTCTTCAACTGCGTTTAATCGTTTTATTTTAACTTAAATTTTGGATTTATGTTTTTATTTTAGTTTTAAATTTTTTTATCTTCCAAAAGCTTATTGAATTAGGTTTAAAAATTTAACCGTAGTCAAGTTATAAATCTTAAAATTCATAAACCAAAAGCCGTAGGAATAAAAAATAATTACGACAAAACTATACATAATTAGGCAAATGATGAACATGACACTAGTAATTGAGAAGTAGGAAACAAGATGTTTCATTAACTTAAAATTCAATAGACACTAGCTAGTTAAAAGAAGTTTATGGTACCTTCTTAAGGGACTTGTGATTTGGTTGGTTCCTTGATAAATGACACTGAGATTTCGTTGGTTCCAACTGAAAAGAAAATTTAAAAACATTTTATAATAATTAGAAGAACACAATGAATGTGAAAATGTATTTTTAAGGTTTTATTTTAAATTAGAAAAACACATAAAGGAAACTTAATTAGGACAAATCAAAATATCTTATAATAAGAATTGGATGGAGTATGGAGGAAGCTTTAGAGAGATCGAAGTACTGTTAAATAAGGATTTCTTAGTGCAATTATCATATGTTTAAAGCGAATATTGCAATATTTTTCCTTTTTGTTTTTATTTCACTCGCTTGGTTGGGGTTGGAATTTGTTAAAATTCCATCCATTGAGTACTAGCTTGTTTTCTAGACCAGAGTCTCCTTCATTGTATCCAAAAAAATATATATATTTAATTGTTGTAGAATAAAAGTGAGGTTTTCTTTAAACAATAGAAAGTACTGAAAAACATTTTTTGTTCACCTAGCTCCCCATTGTGGAATAAGTGGGCAACAAAGCTTGTCTAATGGTCTTTCAATAGAATATGAAAGCTTGTCTGGCCTTTCTCCACCTTTAAAAGGTATATTGTATTTAGATCGAAGATCATTCCCATACCTTAGAGTTTGATTGGTAAAATAGAGGTGTCATGGGATTTTTAGACAAATATTTGTGAGACTGACTCTTAGTCTAAATGATAACTGTCGTGGGATTTTAGAGGAAAGGTAATACAGTTTCTTAGTTATAATTTGCATAAGAACTCTCATGGAATTTTTAGAAAAATTTTTAAAAGACAGTTTCTTTTTTATTTGGGTAAGTCTTGAGCACTGCCATATGTATTTTTCTTTTTATATTCATAAAATCGGGATCCTTCCATCAGATACCGCCCTAGATTTCCCTTTAAATAAAGTGGGCAACAAGTGAAAAGAATAGAAGAATCCAAAATTTGTAGCATTACAACAATTGACAGCAAAGATCTAGTCATGCAGCAAAAGTTTTCTTTAAACAATAGAATGTACTAAGAAACCCATTTTTTGTTCACCTAGCTCCCCACTATGGAATAAGCGGGCAACAAGTGAAAATAATAGAAGACTCAAAAATTTGAAGTATTACAACAATTAGCACCAATGATCTAGTCATGCAGCATTTTTAATTAATTTGCGGCTCTATTGGGTTATGAACTCTTTAAGTGGCAGATGGTTAGTGAAGTATTTCAAAGTAGCATTGCATTTTTCTCAAGTCATGTTGGTTTAGGACCTTGATTTGTCTTATAATTAATTAAGGAACCATCCATTTGTGTGCAGAAAGTCATTTTTTGGGGAGAGATGTAAACAAGTCATCAGGGTGTTTCAAACATTTTTCCTCGTGCCCCTTTACAACATATAGATATATATGCCGAGGTGATTTACATTATAGATATATATGCTAGAGTATGTTGCGGATATGCTGAATGCAGTGAAGGGCATATGGCTAGTTCACATAATGTCATGCTGTGATTTACTCTTACAGATCTCCCAAACTACTTGTCCAATCGAATTACTTCAGATCAAAAGAATTTCCTATCTATAAGGGCAAAAAAAGTTATCCTTGTCTCAGTAAAACAGAACTTGATTAGGCTATTTAGAACTTCAAACGAAAGATTTATTAAATAACCTATATTGTGTTGTTGTCAGTCGTAACGTTAAAATAATATCTCTATTAGTTGTTGTTGAGAAGCAGGAAATTCTATATATATTAGTATGATTTGATTTGATATTAGGGATGGGAATAAGAATAAGGAACTTCTATATATATTAAGGATAAAAATAAGATTGGCATATTGGTATAATATGATTTGATCAGATAATTAATGTCGTGAATTGGTTAAAACAGAAAATGATTCTACTGTTATCCTTATATATATATGTGTGTGTGTGTGTGTGTGTATAACACTCCCTCTGTTATGAAATTATTGTCCAATTTAGATTTTTATTTTTAGTACAAATTGAAATAAAATTGAAAATGAAAAATGAACAACAATTTTGAAACAGAGAGAGTACAAAATACACAATTCTTCCATCTGTCTTTCTTTTCCAACATGGTATCAGAGCCATCTTGATGCCCTCACTTTATGTGTTTTCTATGAAGCACCTAACTTGAGTTTGAGTGCGTCGTTAACGTAATTATAAGGATAACTATATTAGTATGACTTGATTAGATCTGATAATTAATGTCGTGAATTAGTTAGATTGAATAGGAGCCTAACCTATTCTATAAATACACATCTTCAATGAAAAATAAGTCTCCTATCTATCTTTGATTTCCAACACTCTTGTCGTCCAAAGAAAAGAAAAAGAAAAAATCGATATTTGAAAAGGTTACAAATTACAAATTATAATGTCGCATATTATTTTGGATAATAATAATAATAATAATAATAATCATAATCATCATCATCATCATCATCATCATGGGTGCCTTGGTTTAAAAAATGCCTAGAAAAAGGAGTAGATAGATTTATCTTTTTTTTTTTGGTAAAGCAAAATACGGAAATCAGATTTACAAAATCCGATCTACTGATTAAATTAGTAAATCGGATTTTGAAAATCTGATTTAATAAAATAATATTTTTTTCGGAAAATATATGTGAAAAATATGAAATGAAGGTCAACTAATGAACAGTGAAGGGTCGAATTTTAGGAATCCGACCTTCCTTATTCTTAAAAAATAAATATAGGCGGGAGATTTGAAAATTAAGAACAGTAGAGGGTCGGATTCCGACCTTATTTAAGAATACCTAACAGTAGATATCGGTATTAAATGGATATTATTGGCGGGTAGAAGGTCGGATTCTTGAAATCCGAGTTGATACGTATATCGAATTTTGGAAATCTGACCGTACTTATAAACTCGGATTTCAGAAATCCGACCTTGTTGTGTTATAATGGGACGACGAAAAACACTATTCACATATCGAGATTTTGGTAAAGGAGGTGATTTCTTGAAGGAGGAGGTGATTTTAGTGGCGATTTGAAGATTTTGTTCACGATTCTTCCCAACGGATGTCTTAAAACCATTTCACAAGAAGGTTAGTTATTGTTTTGATGTTTTTAGGATTATTGTTATTGTTTTCTTTGTAAAAGTGTGGAACTAGGATGATTTATAAGGTTTTATGGCTGATGTTGGGTGTAGTTGATGATTCTTGTTGTATACATGGTATTGAACGTTCAATTTAGTAAAATGCTTGAATTTGGCCTAAACTTTTGAATTTGTAGGGGGTTTAGTAAATTTAGTGTTGATTATGCCTTGTTTGTGGTAATTGTTATAATAATTTGTTTGATAATGCCTTGTTTGTGTATTTTCTTTTTTAATAATTTGTTCATAATGTGTTGTACTTCTAGGTGCCATTTGGAAGTAGGGACAAGTAGTGGTGGGCCGAATGTGGAGAATGTCGATTACATGGAAGATGATGATGTGGGTGGACCGAATATGGAGGATGGCGATCACATGGAAGATAATGACACAGAAGATGATGAGGACTACACATCGATAAGTGATCAAAGCGATGAAAACCAGTCAATATCCGAAGGAAGTCGGGAGAGTGATGAAGAGGTTGAAGACAAATTCGCCACAAAGGACAGGCACATATATCGTTCACACGGTACATGGGATCATACAAAAGTGGACAAGGATGAATTTCAACTTACCATGTGGGACGGGACAACCGCAAAAATCGGGATAGGGACTTGTTTTAAGAATAAGGAAGATGCAAAAAATGGTATTACAGCGTGGAACATAGAGCAAAAGAGAGAGTTTTATGTGAAGGAAAGTGATGGTTCAACATGGTATATTTGGTGCAAATCCCTAAAAGAGTCAACCCCTAAGGATTATGTTCCTTGCCATTGGAAAGTACGTGCCTCCTTGAGAGACCACGGTTTGTGGGAGATTGTGAAATGGGTGCCCGAGTACAATTGTATGAATGTCACCGAGGAAAATAATAATCGGAATGTGAGTGCAACGCTTATTGCTCATCTCATAAGGCATAAGGTTGAGTTGGACCCGGATTATGAAGTGAAGCTCATTCAAGAAGAAGTAAAAGACCATATACATGTCGATGTTCCTTACCACAGAGCATGGGAGGGAAGGAGAAAAGCTATCGATCTTGTTTACGGTGACTGGGTTTCCAATTTTGACATACTTCCAAGGTATTTACTTAAGTCATATCTAATTTGTTTGATTTGTTCGTAATTTACTTTTAAAATAAGCATTAATTTTTTTTTAATTTAGGTTGTTCGCCACCTGGAGAAGAGCAACCCTGGCACAGTTGAAGAGTGGGAATGGCAACCGGGTTGGACCGATACAGAGA